TTTCTCCCCCCACTCTCACTGTCTTCCCCACCTCGTGTCTGTCTCCCCTCCTGTGTCTCTGTGTGTCTCTCCCTCTCTGTCGCCTCCCTGCGTCCCTCTGTCTGTGCCTCTCTGTCTCCCCCCTGCCTATGTCACCTCTCCCAGTCCCTCTCCCAACCTTACTGCTGCTAACAGTCCCTCTGCCCCTCCCCCGCTCTGTTCCACTCTTCTACTTCCGCTCTCCACACTCCATCTCTTCCTCTATTCCCCTGACCAGACACATCTGTTTCCTTTCCTTTTCAAGTCCTCTTCCTCACTTTCTCTCTTCCTCTCTCTCTCCCAGTTTCTCTTTCCTCTCTGCTGGGCTCTCTCTTTCTCTGTCAGCCGCCCACGCTGCTGTCTCCCCTCCCAATCCTGGCTCTCCCCGCCTCTTCTGGCCTCCCCACTACAACTTGACCCCTGGCTCAGCTGCCCCCACAGCTAAGGGGAGGGATTGGGCTCCCCTAAGCTGTGGCTGGGACTCCTCTATGTTTGGAGAGGGGCTGGAACCCCAGGGCAGAATGGGTTTGTTGTTACTGAGGTTCTAAGCTCCTGACACCTCCAAGAGAGCTGTCCTAGGCCTTTTGAAGAATGACATCTCCAACTCCCAAAACCTTGGAAAGCTGGGATAGAGCCTGCCTGGTGGGTGCCTGGGAAGGCATGAGCTAGAAGTAAGGACTCATAGACTAGTCACCAAAGTCCACAAGTGTAGCCTTGACCAAATGGGGCAGCCATGGTCAGTACCGGTCCTGGAAGGAGAAGATAGCCCTAGAAGTGTTGGGTTCTGACAAGGACAGAGTTAAGTGGCCAGTTTGAAATTTCTCCCTCAGATTAGACTGATAACCCATTATAAGGAAGGTATGGAACCTCAGTACATTTTGAGGAAGGAGGCTATATAGAACAGAGCTCAGAGTAGCTCCAGGGGCGCACTGCCCAGTGAGGGGCCCCTGGGATCCATCCCCAGAAACGCAACGTACAGCACATACAGGCTACATATACTCTCTCTCTTCTCTCCCTCTCCCTCTCCCTCTCTCTCTCTCCTTTCTCTCCACAAACACACACCAGGAGGAAAAGGCTGAGATTGGATCTATATCTGGGATTTGAACAGAGCCCCACCCCCATGAGAATGCAGGCCAATCAGAAATTCAAATTATATAAGCAGAACCTTTGTATAAATTCAAACTGCAGACGCCTGCCTGTGAAGGCAGAGTCTGCTGAGCAGTGTTTGCCACACACTATCTGTTGAGGTCATGTTTGTAACCTCCATACTGGGTAGGACTGCTGAGTTCCAGGGCAGCTGGGCCTACACAGGTCGAGTTGGTTCAGCCCAGGTTGCATAGTAAGTTCCAGGCACTCCTGGAATACAATACAGGTCCTGTCGAAAGACAAAAACAAAACAAAGGAAACAGAAACATGCATTTAAAAAAAGAAATAGGAGGAGGCTCCGTAAAGGCAGGCCTTGGGCGGGGTTGCTGCTTCTCTGTACACAGGAGAATTGCCCAAAGATTCTTTGGCCTGATTATCCCATGAGTCCTAGGACAGTGTGGACATACTGTAAGACTCTGTTCAAAATAGATAGACTGGGCAGGCATGGTGGCACACGCCTTTAATCCCAGCACTTGGGAGGCAGAGGCAGGCAGATTTCTGAGTTCGAGTCAAGCCTGGTCTACAGAGTGAGTTCCAGGACAGCCAGGGCTACACAGAGAAACCCTGTCTTGAAAAACCAAAAAGAAAAGAAAAAGAAAAGGGTAAACTCCTATATAGTTACTTGATAAAAAAAAAAAAGGAAGAAAGCAAATATACTACATGTGTTCCTTTCTCTCTCCCCTTCCCCTCCCCTCCCCTCCCCTCCCCCTCCCCT